TTTTTTCAAGTAGAATACAAGGTTTGATGTTATTACACGACGAGGAATGAGGATGAATCGTTTTGACTCCTGGAGCCTCACTCAATGTAACATAAAAAAGCTTAACTACCTAATTTATCCATACTTAAACTACATCCAACAATATGAATGCAAATTCAAGGTAATGGAAAAAAAATAAAAAGAATAAAGAAGAACGTCACAGCTTATCCGATAAGACAATCTTGATTTCTTAACTCAATAAAACTTCTGAAACTCTCTAACTTAAAGAATCTTGAAGAACATTCACAAAAATTAGGCAAAGCTAATATTAAAAAAGTAAGCAAAAGCTTAAAACTTTATTAATTTGAAAATTTGATAGTCGTTATTACAACTTAAGGATTGAAACCTTTTATAGAGATTTTACTCTTCTAATATGAATAGAAATAGGATTATATACTCCTATTTGAACACTTAGATTTAATTAAACTAGAAAACTTAAATGAAATAACAAAATAATTAAGTTCTTATCTAAACTTAATAAAATAATCAAAGATAGTTAAAATAATTACTACAAAAATTCTTTTCTCCTTATTCAAATCTCCATCTGTCTTCATTTTCTTCGGACTTCCAACTTGAATAGAATTTTTCCTTAACTAAACACTTTAATCACATGTGGAATTTTTGTAGAAATCTTTTGCAGCTTGAAATCATAGGAAAATTAGGAAAAAAAATGGAGAAAAGAGTCCAAATCGGACTCAAGGTGCTGCTACCAGGCTGGTTGTGTGCAAGCAATACGTAGGCCTATTGGTTGCGCGCAAGTGGTGCGCTCGGATGTGGCGTACATGCGGCAGGTTTCCCTTACACACGTGTGTTCTTTTGCGCGCATATAGTTGATGCGTGTGTGTGTGCATGTTCGCTCCTACTGTGCCCAGGCACTGATCTCCCACACGGCGTGCTCCATCGCATATGCATAAATCCTACATGTGCGAATACTTCTTCTCACGTATGTGCACGCCCAAACATGCGCACCTGACAGGTGTCCATACTCATATTATGTTTTAGGCTTTCTCTTGAGGCGAAATTCTAAGGTCAAGCCTCTCCTTGACCATGAGGCCCAATAACTTCATCGTTTCAGATTGTCTCTTATTTTCCTCATTATAAACCAATGTTCAAGCCCATTTAATTCTTTCTGGGCCCTTAATTCACTCCCCTTATGGTCTTGGGTTTGGACCGATCTTAAATGAGTACTTTCTATTCAGGAGAACTTCCTAATGTGTCCTAGAAGCACACTATAGCACGATCATTTTCGTCATTCCGTTGCCATATCCCCATTCATGCTTGGATTCTGGAACTATTCCTCCATATGAGTCTCCAGCTTGTTACAATAATTTTTTTTATTTATTATCACATCATGTTATCTCAAAATGTAAAAGCTATGTATATTAGGGATCGCAACAGGACAAGTTAAGGGAATGTTTTATAATATTTGGACCTAACTCACCCTTGTAAAATGCAAAACTCAAAGCAGCTTAGTCCTATAATGGATCTAAATTTTTCTTTTTCTTTTTACTTTTTCGAGTCCTATTGGATTTGCAAATTATCTTACTCTCATCCAAATTTGATCATTTTATTATATTAACTAAGATAGTAAATTATGGTTAAGATACATCACAGGGTAAGTGGAGTTCGAAATTTTGTTGAAGAGAGGAAAAACTATGAAATAAATTGGTTATTATGATAATGATCTAGGTGGCTCAGAATATAACACAAAAATCAGTAGGATATGCATTTCACCTTGGTTCTAGTCCATTTTATTAGAACTCAAGGAAGAAGGAAATGATTGTCTAGTGTAAAGATTATTTTTGTTGTTGTTAGAAGTTATAAGTAAAGCTATTTATATTTAAAAAATTGCTTTATCATTTTAAGGAGAAATAAAGGACAACAATCCTTATTTATTGCCATCATAAATCTACAATTACAGTTGCATAAAATCTACTTTTTCATGGAAACCAAGCACATAAAGATTAAAT